TGATGGTGATTGTGGCGGTCTCGTCGGTATTGGTGGCGCTCTTCGTGGTCCCGGTGGCCTTGGTAATGCTGTCTTGGAGTCTTGGTGATGCAGATGATTTTGATAATCTTGGTGGCTAACTGGCAACTAATTGGCGTTGGCGCTAGACGTAGCCGAGAAACAATCTGAGCAGGACCAGAATCTAGGCACATTCACGCAAAGCAACCAATGAATTACTCGGGTGGTCTTGGTGGTGATTATGGTGGTTTAGGCGGTCTGGTCCAGGCGGTGTTGGTGGTGCTCTTGGTGGTCCTGGTGGTCTGGGTGGTTTAGGTGGTCTTGGTGGTTTTCGTGGTCTAGGTAGTCTTGGTGGTCCCGGTGGTTTTGGTGGTGATTGTGGCGGTCTAGGCGATGTTGGTGATGTTATTGGTGGTCTTGGGGGTCCTGGTGGCCTTGGTGGTCTCCGTCGTATAGATGGTTTTGGTAGTCTTGGTGGTCCCGGTGGTGATTGTGGCGGTCTAGGCGGTGTTGGTGGTGGTGATTCGGCGATCTAGGCGGTCTTGGGGGTCTTGGTGGCTTTGGTGTTTAGGTGGTCTTGGTAATCTTAGTGGTCCCGGGGGTCTTGGTGATGGTTTGGGCAGTGTTGGTGGAGCTCTTGGTGGTCTTTGTGATTTAGGTGGTCTTGGTAATCTTGGGGGTGATTGTGGGGGTCTAGGCGGTGCTTTTTACCAATCTTATCCTTTTAGAGGCCTTAGATGTTTTTAGATGCCCACAAAATTTATGGGGTAATTTAGGACATGCTTGTGATTGATTGCAAATCATTGTGTGACCACCTCAACTCCCATTCATCCCCGACGCTGGATGATAGGTGCACCGCTATCGATATTGTCATACTAAGGGACAGCATTCGTCGGATGCAAGCCACACTACGGTGGGTTCCAACGAACCGAATGTTAGCCGATGCTCTAAGAAAAGAAAGCCCAGAAGTGTTTGATTTGTTGAGGGCCTGTTTCAGATCCGTACACTAGCAGATTAGCCCAGAAGAGCTTGTTTTGCAGCGCAGAGCCCAAGAACATGACAATTCGCCTCCGATTCGAAATCGCAATCTCGATCCGAGGATAGCGTAAACATGAAAAGACCTGCCGCACACCATTCTCATGATAGATATGATAGTCCTGGGGAGAGTGCCGCAAGCATTCATAGGTATGTATCATCTTGGGAGAATGAGATGTAGGGGTGCAATTCGTGATCCTCAGTGTATATATAAAGAATTTTTCATCAGGCCTAATTTTGCATTTAATTCATAGAGCACACGTTTCGTGTATATCATTCCTTAGCAATTCATTTTGGTGATACTGAAGATATATGGACATATGGTTCAACGAGGTTCTCCAATGCTCGAAGGCCAATCGTGTCATCCTTTCGCTTGCGACAGAGGAACCATGGCGATGTCTGCCGGTCAGAGAGCCTTTACACCGGCTGAAACAGAAGAATATTTCCGACTCACCATGAAGGCCAGGAAGTGTGGTGCATGGGATGCCATCGTGCGTCGCATACGTAATGTTGAAGATCTAGCCCTGGACGAGGCTTTGTCACCTTCCCTTTCTGGCTCCATATCGGATGGATCGAAACGATTGGATAAAGACAAACTTCCATCGTCTCCAATGATCTACAGCTCCAACTATATAACTACTAACCCGCCAATGTCACCCGAGAAGGCCTCAATTCCAAATTCATATTTTCAATCACTCAATAAAGAAAACGGTGGTATCTTTTGACAAATATAAAAATTCAATTATTCTGCCGAAATATTTAAAGACATTAATGAACATTTGCCCAAGCCCAATATCAAAATTAATCGTCGGCCACAAAAGATTTGGTCGATTCTTTTCAAATTCATAAAATATATCATAAATGCAACCAATCTATTATTCCCAACAACCCCATTCGATATTTAACTAAAATAATATTGTATAAACATATCAATAACCGATTATACAAATATTTTAAAAACTTAAATAAAAAACCCGCGTTAAACGCGACGATTGCACAATATTACGATGCGAAAATTACTATTATATATATTTTTTTCAACATATATATATATAAATTCTATTTTTAATATTGTACTTATATTTATTTTTCATTTATTTTTCAATCAATATTTTTTGAATTTCAATAATTTATATTTTCGTCCAATATAATAAATTCATTAAACTATATCGATATATATATATAAGTTGGTGTCAATATTATCTGGTTGGATTGTTTTCGTTTTCTTTTTGTGAGTCCCGTATCGTTTTCCAAGGTTTTGGTTTTATAATATTTATGCAATTACATCCCTATCCAATTCGACTAGTCACATTCCGGTGAAGCGTGTCATTTCTGCAGCCATCCCTCATTACTAGCAGCTTGGAGCACCGTTGCCACATGGACATTGCCATATATCGGCACTAGGCAATAACAAAGTTCAACACAATACCGATCAATTTCATTAAGGCCACAACCGGCAGAGAGGAAGCACCATTGCCAAGATCATATGCAATATCCATTGGAATCACAAGGAGGATTTCCCATCCATAGAGGGGAATCTTTGAATCTAGATGATGTATATTTTTAGAATCTCTGGGATCCACATTTTCAATTATCCGAGCAGGTGTCGGAGGTCTCGTTGCCTAAGGAAGAAATTAAATTATTTGATCCAGATGCTTCTTTTTCCCGAATGCGTAGCGAAGGATTCTCATTTAACTCTTGGGGGTCTAGGGGTAGAGCCTTGTTCGCGACCCGTAAGTTGGTCAGGTCGAAGGAGCGTGGTGCGAATCATGCATAGTGTGGAGGCACGACCTGCCGAACTATGGATCATGTACCAACCTGGCCCAGTCCATCTGCAATTAAGGATCCATCCTGTCTCTTGAACCAGAACCAGCGTGTAAGGCTAGGAAGAACACCATGAGAGCCAATCATCCAGCTGTAAGCTCTAAGAAGCATTCCAGCTAAAGATCTGTATAACCGCTGGTGTCGAAGGCATGGTAGAGCCAACAGAAGGCCTAACAACAGGTCGATCGCGAAGTTCACGCATGAGTTGCTGTTTCAGCCTAAAGGGGACCATTAAGGGCCAGATCTCCTTTCCTTTGGATTCGGTACAGCCATATAGCAGTGATCTCTTGCATGCTCTGCGAAAGCTTCTCTTTATACGATTGCATCTTGATGGATCAGGAATTTGGCCGGAGCCAACATACGCCCATGCCTCATTGAGTTTCGTGCCATTGAGTTTCGTGCCAACCTAATACTGCATAGAGGGATAGCTTGGGCATTTTAATCACAAGACGAAGAACCTATAACAACCCTCACGCCAGACATACACGGTGCAGGAGCGAATCGAGAATTCTACCAATGCATGTCTTTCGGACTTGGGACCGGACTTGCCAGCTCTCTAGTATATGTAACGGTGGTACTAGTATATGTAGCGGTGGTGCAGCTTAAGACATCCAGAAAACAAAGAATATCCTGCCAAAGGGTCTCCACATCTTTCACAAATCGCAATTCCGACTCGACATGTTCGAAGAAACCCAGGGGAAATGGCTACACGAATCTGAGCTGGCAATGACGCTCAATATAATAACGCTCAATATAATGTAACCAAATATAAATTAGAATACAATTTTCAAATATAAATACATCTAAAAATAATATATATCAAATTAAATGCAATGCATTAAATTAATTCCATAAAAAAAATAGATTTATTAATAATTAAAAAAATATCCAATAATATTAATAAATAAAATAATATATATATATAATCCTCCCAAATTAATAAAATAAACATAAAATCAAATATATAAATTCCATATTATTCCTTCAAAAAATATTATATATATATATATAAATATTATCAATGTTTATAAATATAATATTAATTATTTTATATATATTATAATTTATATATATATTATATATAAATAATATTCTATATATATATTTTATTATATATATATTGAATATATTTATGAATAATTCTTCTTGAAAGATGTGCCTCCAACCTGATGAATTTGAATTAATTAATATTCAACAGAATGTTTCATGTGCTTGTTGGATCAATATTGATATGAAATTTCATTTCAAGATATCTGAATATGATTCATCGAATGTATAGTAAATTGCCGATGTCTGAAAACAAGAATTCTCAGGCCCCCACCCCAGGATTCCTCAGTTTGCATTGCAGAATGAAAAGCAAAGACTTGGCAGCAACCCGAGTCCCTCCACCATTCTCCGATAGAGAGATTGTTCTTTTCTGTAGTGAATCCCATCCTTTTCCCAATCTCCGACTGCTTGTCGGTGTCCCTTGAGGCTGTAAAGGAAAAGAACAAATCCTAACGTCAGCCTTTGTGCCGTGCACATGTCCACTGCGTCCAAGTGACATGGTGTTGCTGGGATCCGCCTGAACCGAAAAGCACATGTGACGAAGCACGTCTATAGGGCTGAATCTATTGGACCTGGAGCTGGGGTATGTTCCATCCTAACCTATGGAAATGACTTGGCACTATCAATTGGCCGAATATTGGGAGATGAAGACACCGGACACCGGATCCCAAGAAAGGTATCTTGAACACAGGTTCACTCTTAGAAATCCTCTTAAATTGCTTGCTTGATACATTCATTGTAAAGGTGCTGAAGCGATATGCCGATATGAGAACTGTTGAAATAATCTGCACCATTGGGCGACAACTGTCATTGATTCTCCCTTCAGCCTCTTCTGCGACATGAACAATATCTTTGCTGAGTTCGTGACACCCCGACTGAGTCACAAAAGAGCCTGCAAAACACTGACCTCTGCTTTCCAACTATTGAGTCATCCCCATCTTGATCCTGGTTTGATAGAACTCACCTTTGCTCACCTACCCGGAAAATAATTCACATCCATGTCCCAAACCCTGCAACGGAACTGCTGATTTCACATTCATTGGACCATGAAACCATCCGCAACACACCATCCACCACTCACCAGTCATCACCGTTGTCTACCCTCTCACGCACGTGGATCCGGCCTTCATCCATCGTCGTTGCGTATCCATGGGTGCCTTGTACTCGGTGCCATGGCCATGCTCTGCTGGGAGCTTTCCGCCGACCGCCTCTACGGCCTGGCCGACCACCAGGCCGACGAAGAGCGAGAGCGAGGGAGTGAAACGGAAGCGTCACAAGTTGTTTGATGTGAAAGGGCACTTGGAAAGCGAACAGGGATAAAAGCACGGAAAGGTCGATGGGTTGGAGTTGTTTAGGGATCCCTTTTCTCAAAAAGTTGGCTATTCTCCGTCGCCAAATGGTGAAAGAAAGGATCGCTCTGGTCTGCGCATCTTGACCATGTGACATCTACCTCTGAGGGTCCTTTGGGGGGGCTAGAAAAGGCGGATGAACTCATTGGTTACAAAGGCAGACTGACTGTCTGTTGGTTGCCACAAGCCAAGGACCCAACACGCTTCTTGACCCTTAAGCCTTCGCAAAGACTTGGTGGGATGGAAAGCTAGGAGATCTTGTGACAAAAGCAACGTCACGATGCCACCATGCCCATCATACTTGAGTATGTGGCAAAACCACTACACGTGTTTCTTTCATGAATATCCTCCCCGTGGAATGTTCCAGGCCGTTGGGATCCGTGGGTACGGGGCTAGAGATAGCCCCGTAGCTCTTGCCCAAAAGGGAAGTGTATCAAAACGAGGACCTACACAGTTTTCATCTATAATATGTACTGTATATATATATATTATATACATATCTCTATACATATGTGTTGCTTATGAATGCTTATGGCCTCAAAACCCCATCTGGAAGAGCAGTTTTATCGTCCCAACCCTCCGCATCGAGGGCAAACAACTGTGCCCATAATCAGGACGTCCATTTTGGTATCGCCCGACGACTGGACAATTGAATTTAGATCAACACCATCGACACCTCCGTGTATTTGACCGACTCAGAAAAGCACTTTGACGCTACCAAGGTGGTAAAAGGGCCCATAGGAATTTCCACTGACGGGAATACATTTCGCATCTTCCTTGACACAATCCCGGCCTTCTTGATGGCCATTTTCGCATCATGAACATTTGTCTGGTTGTCAAAGACAAAGTCCTCATGATAAACCTCAGCAAAAACGGCTCGAAATAGGGTCGGAGACGGTCGGAGCATGTCAGAAATGCGTGTTCCTCTCAGTCCTCTCCGCAAAGAAGCACAAGTACAAAACGAGTCCACTTGAACTTGGAACGGGATTGGGAACATAATACTCAAGGAGCTTCGGCGTGGCGTCAATCGCCGAAATCGGACTGGTGGAGGGATGGTCAAGGGCTCGGAACAGCCTGTCCTAGCTTGGGGATGCTTAAAAAGGACCCTCCATGCAAATAATTACATACTATCTTCATCTATCTTCAACTTCTAAAACTCCAAAATGAAGTACAGCAAGACTGCTGCTAGGTCATAAATGGACATCTATTCCAAAAGTAGCAGCCCTCCTCAGTGAAATTTGCCTAGCTGACGTTTGAAGGACTCTAGCAAATATCTAGCAACCGTGCAACACCGTAGAGCTGTGGACTCTAGTAGTCTAGGTCAAGCCCCTGACCATCTATACCCATAGACCATCTATACCGATTTATGCTGATGGCCAGTCGGGTGTCTCTTTTTCACAACCCCCATAACATCCCACAACATAGATGGACTCATGTGTGATGTCAATATGTTTGAACCACCTACCAAAGTTCACCACCAACGCAAAAAGCAATGAACAGATGCAATTCTGATGGAGTTCGACCCACGCGTACGCTGTGTGGATCCACTGCCAAAAAAGTGGCATTGCAGCCAAAGTGAGAGTACACCAGGCGGTGTTGGATAGGATACTGTGCCTGACACGGCAAACAAAAGGAAAGTATTACTTTCAGGAGACCCCGTACAGTAGTAGGTTGGAGGCGGCTGATGGCAATTGTGCAAAAAGAGATGATTATTATGGTCTTCTCCTGACTACTGGGAAGTCTAGCTACTCGCACATCATCCATCGGAATACACCCTTGACTTACACTATCTTACACTCATGTTGCACCAGCTTGTGCCACTTGCGAATGCACCAGAAAAAGGGAGGTCTCTATTCTCTATGTCAACGTCTCAGCAACCATGGCCTCTGGCAAAGTCGGATATTCCTTGAACGTCTTCGGCAACGCATAGTCGATGGACAAGCCTTGAAGACCTAGGCCTCAATCAGTCACACAACCTTTTTTCTTGTTGTCCGCCAAAAACACCCTGCTGCAAGTCATGAACAAACATGTCAACATGTCTCAGATCGTTCTAGCCAAATGGATTTTTCCAACCCAGCATGAGATGCTTCTCGGGGAACATTCGGCATTGTGAGTTTCCCTGGCCGGGCCTATGCAGTAGGTGCGGAACGCCGGCGCTACAGCAAAGCGGAAGAGCATCGCACGTGATGCACTGAAGGCATTATCACCTGAGTAGTCAACACCATGGATTGTTTGATTATTAGGGCTTGCAGGAAGAAGAGCTCATTACGGCAGGATCTCCAACCATGGGTTGATTCATGTGGGTGGGTGGGTCAAAGACTATGACCTTCAGGGACAAAAACAATGGAATTCTTTCAGGCCTCACTTGCGCACGCAAGGTCGGCAGTCGACCCCACCTACTGAGTTACGCAGGAGCCATGTCCAAAGCCTCACTTGCGTGCGCACAAGTTACTGTAACTCACTTGCTCATGCATGACCCACTTGCGCACGCACACACAGGCATGTTGCTGCATTGGAATGGTTCCTTCCTCCTTCAAAATCTACCCTCGGGTGGCTCAGAAAAGGTCTGCTACGTTGGAATGGCTCCTTCCTTCCCTAGATTTTATCCTCGGGTGGCTCACAAAAGGTCTGCTAACTTGGAAAGACCCCTTACCAGTTCATGACAGGGTGTCTGTAACAAGCACACAAATCTCTTTAAGTCTCTTTGTGCCTGAAATATGCTGGTGGAAGGCTGTTTCAAGCCTGGAGCCGTGGAGGACCCAACACCAAACACATGATCCTTGCGCAATTGAGAGTCTGTTGCAGGCGCACACTGCTCAAGAGGCTTCCACTTCTCAGCCTTCCAATTTTGTACAAGCAAGGCGTTTTCCGCGTGCACAAGCGAGTGCTATGCCATTCTTTCACCTGGGATATCCTGTGATTCAGTAGCTCCCTGTACACCACCGACAGCCGTGTTTGGGACACCTGTCTTCATTCATTCCAGCATTGTGTCCGAGTGGCAGACATGGAATCGTACAGTTCCTGGATGTTTCGATTGAAACTTCTCCAGACGAGACATCAACTCGTCCACCTCTCCATCTGTGTACTCAGCAAATTCCATCAGCATGTGGTGATCCTCAGGACAGTGGGGCAGCGATCACCATGTTGTAATGTGTTGTGAGAAACCAAGCAGATCTGGAAGTGGTCATGTGAGTGGGTCGATTAGAAGAGGATGTATATAAACTGCTGCGGGTCAACAATGGATAGCCCAAAAATGGCCGAAAAAACATAGTGTCTCTACCTTACCTTCCCTCTTCACTCTTCCCGCACGGCAGAATGGAAAAGATCAGCATTCATTCGAGTAAGGCATGTTTCCTCTCAAGACTGGCTGAACAAATAAGCTGGATTCACAAAAGGGCCATAGAAGTTATATCAAATCATGCTCTCCACCAGGGACAGAACTCAGCTTACCGGCCTTTGACCCAATCCACCACTCCAACCCAGGCCACCTGGGTCACCTCGGCCACCTCGTGCCAAGTGTCAAATTCATCAGCCTCAAGAAGGACTGGACACAGGAGAACGGGTGGCTTTGACATCCGATAGCAGAACCATTGACTTTGCAACAAACGGGTCACTGATACCTCTAAAGGCTCAAATACTTGATATACTTGGATACTTGGGGAATCTTGGAGATCTATGGCTGTCCCAGGGAAATGAAACATGTGGCCAGTACTGTAAGTCGTGGCTGTTCCAATGTATTCCTGAATGATACTCTGAAAAAACAGCAAAAACACTTCCAGAAACCTGCCACAAGCCAGCACAGGATTGGCAAGCAACCAATTGTTGCAATTCCTTTGGCAATGACTTCGGCAGGATGTTGTTAAACCACCACAGAAACTTGTCACAAATGATAGTGGAGAAGGGCACGGGAATTGATTCCTCAGTCAATTCGTTGGAGCTCTGGCCAAAAGGCACACTGTCGCATGATCACATTGCGAGAATAAAGCAACTGTGCATTGTCGGTTTCAGGATCACGTGAGCTGCAAGGCGCAGGATATACAGATTCAGTGAGCTTCATGTGCCCCTTAAGCCACCACTTCTACAAAGCTAATGAAGACCTGATAAAGATCTGCTGAAAATCCGAAGACATGATGACATCTGATGAAACTCTGAACATATCTGAACCAAAAGATCTCTTCGATCTTCGAGTTTCGATAAAGAGCTTCAAGTTCCACAGTGGCTCCAGCTTCATCATCCCCAGGAGCTCGATCCTTGTAATGCATTGTCGATATGGATTCTCATCGGACCGATGCTTTTCTTGATGTGGACATCTGGGTGACTGAAAAGCAGCCTATGGCGAGTTTAAGAGGGTCTACAAGATGCAGAATCTCTGCGTAATTACAAAAATCTAACCTGAGGATCAAAGCAACCTACGTGCCTTCAACAGTGCGCCATTGGGGCAAGACACATCTTGATGAGGATTCGACCACTTTGGTCCACAGCATCGTAGGTAGCTCTGTTGATGTACCTTAGCAAGATCACACCCTGGAGCTCCATAGCTTCGCTAGCAAATGAATGTGTGAATGGGATGTCTTCAGTTTGACTAGCTCCTTGTCAGGCTTCAGAGCCCAGGATCTTAAGGATCGAGCCTTCACCATGTCTACTCGAGGAAAAAGCTTGCTAGGTTGTTTCGTTGCTGTAACGCAACGTGCGACGGCGCGAAGACTACATCATCGTGCACATGTACATATATTGTATATTTGTCAATTTTACATAATTTTACAAGGATTCCTCCAGAAGTGACTTTGCTTCACAGCCATCACGGTGTTTTGCTTGGTGGCAATGGTACAGTGGCTGAAAAAAGAATCCAAAGAATCTGACCCATTTGACTTGAAATGTCCTTCGCTATGCTGTGGGTGTTGGAGGCCTAAGCTTGTCGAGTCAAGCTGCTCGCAGGATTTAGCCATCTTTTCCGGCGAGGAGATGCACACCTAACAGCCCAAATGGAAGCTGTTCCCTCGGAGTCAAAGGTGGACAGATCGCGGTGAGACCCACCAACCAATGGATTCGTTCTCCAATGTCATCCAAGAGTTGAGGTGCTTGGGGATCCATTGAGAGACCAACTGGTCGCGTGGTTGGAAGCAGTGCCCAAGCCACCAAACTCGACCAATCGGTCCAATGGTTCAGAGGACGAAACCATCCGAATCCTCATTTTGGGATAGCAAGGACGCTACTAGGGGCTCCTGGCATCGCTACTAGGAGCAAGTTCCTTACTAGTAGTAACAAGAAGCTAGTAGAAACAAGAAGCTAAATAGAATACACACAAACCAATCAAAATATGACAAATTGCTTAAACAGCTGGAGGATGTGAGACTTTAGGGCCTTTAGGGTGCAAACCTTTGGCGCAAACCCGGGGCCAACCCTCATCAACCTCTGAGATCTGCAACTTTTTTCAAATACTCGTCTTCACTCCCCATGTCCATTTCTGGTGAACCACCCTTCGGTAGGGTCGCGAGAATGGCAACGTGACCAAGGAGTTCTCCTTTGTGTTGTCCCCATCAAAGCGCAAACGAAAAGCTCTGAAACGACTGCAATGGTGGAATTCGTCTGTAGCTATACCTGGTTTGGGCCACTAAGAACCGACCAGGCCAAGCTCAACAGACCCCTTTTCACGAAAGGCCTCAACAGTCTTCTTGTACGCCATTCTGCTAGTTGCCTCAAGATCGTCAAATTTGCCAGGCGACTTCTCGCTTCAATTGGTGCGCAGTGCCTGGGATCTGCACGGCTGGGTGGATGGCGTTGGGTGGTCGTGCAAACAGCAGGCTCTCGGTGGTTTCAGCAGTTGCCGACTGCATCTTATGCATTGACTCCATTCATCATGCCCAGAGGTGTTCAAAAAAACGCGCGTGTTGTGCTTGTTCATGCAAACATTTCAACGTTCCTTTGGGGAAGACGTCAGCTTCTCTCATGCCCAGAAGGTACCACTTTCTTCCGCCCAGGCGACCGATGTCTTTGCAGGAAGCCCAAACCTGAGTTTCAAAGGGTCGGCAGTACAGGGAACCAGGGGTTCCCCAGCGAGCGAGCGAGAGAGAGAGAGAGAGAGAGCCTTCCGCCCACTGCCGAGGCCAGGCTACTTCTGGGGGGTAACGAACGTATTTTGATGTATTTGGATGGCACAGCCACCGTGGCTCGTAAGGGCCCTTTCGTAGGGCAAATTGAGCAAGTCTGTAAGGCGATGCAGTTGCTCTGTCTCTCTTGCATGAGGGGCATCGAGCAATGTGCAATTCCAAGCCAACAAAGAATAGCGCTGCATTTTTCTTTGATGCACAAGACTGGCTTTCGGTCTAACCTCCTCCGTTCCTGCAAAAGAATAGAACCTCACGGAGTCCTTTCATTGCTCTCCACCATGTCCCAAGACGACTTGGAGACAGGACCGAGGAGGGATCAAAGGTGAACTCATTCGCCAAGTCTCTGTCTTCACGTGCTTGGGCATCGGAAAGGTATCATGGAGGGTCGCTAAGATGAGCACCTCCCATGTGTTGGTGCAACTTGCTGCAAGAATCAGGGTGAAAAGCTTGAACCATAATGAAGCGGGGAGATCCTATCTGGGGTAGATCTGGGATGTCTCTCACATGTCGCATCCAGCCTTCCCTTCTGAACGGTTGCAGTCCACTCCAGTGGTATCTGCATTGAAGCGCGACACCTGGCAATGAAGGAGCCGAGAGTTCTCGGAACTGCCAAACAGCTAAGCATGCAGCATGTGTGTGTGTGTGTGTTTGTGTTGATTCTAGTGCATATTATGCATATTATCATTATGTATATATTATAGGTTGGAGGCCATTGAGATTATATGTCGGGTTTGAGCAATGTTGGGATGCTGGATGGGGTGAGGTCTGGCTGGAACGCCATGGTGACCGATTTTCCTCCTCTGGACTTTATTGACATGCTCCCTTTCCTTGCCTTGTTTTCCACCTTTGTGAGCTCTTCTCGATACTTTGGCCATGAAGCAGGCAATCGGCCTCAGCCCAATGGTGCAGAATGACACATCACATCACTGCTGTGTGGAAGAAGCGAACAGGTCGGATCTCAAGCAAATCTCTCTCCTTGTGATTTGTATACATAATATTATATATATATATACATACGCATAGGTACATCTGTGTAATACATGCACATCCCAATCTGGCCAAACTACGGGAGGACTTTGGAAACTTCGCGTCACTTCGTGTCACTTCGTGTCACTTTGGCCAAGCAGCAGGATGAGTCCAGATCTTCTTCTGTCAGGGACCTGCTTGCAATCGAAAATGCATAGAACCATGACCTAGTGTGATTGGCAAAGCCAACCCAACAACTTGGTGTTCAAGAATTCTGCGCCGCAAGTGGCTGGAGAAGAGCTACTTGCTGCCGGCTTGCATGAAAATTGGCTGGAATGTGACAAAGGGCTTATACATGGATAGCATGCCTACATTGACCAGTCATCTTCATTGTGTTGAAGATACAAAAATATGATGTCAGAGGGTCTCAACTCCAGTTTGCATCCAAGGTTCTCTGCTGAATCAAGAAAGTCCAAGGCCTTTTCGCCTTTCCTTAGACAGCAATGTGGATTGGTGGCAAAAGAGGTCTGTTCTGGTTTCCAAGCTACAGAAAGCTATGAAATTTTGGACAGCTACACATTCAGGAAGTTCTGCGCACGGACGGTACCGTTGAGAGCTGAATCAACTGTCTACGCTCGCAAGAAAGCCGGGGGCCGGGATCTCATAGCATGAGAACTTGCTTAAGAGATGGCAGGCAGCAGGCACAGACTCTGGCACAAGCAGCCTTGATGAGAAAAGTTAGTGAGCTTCAATCTGGGCCTAGCAGGGAAGCCACATAATCGACACTTCTACAGATTTACGTGGCATTCGCAGAGGTGAGGGTCGCCATCCAAGCTTCACTTTCAAGCCCAGCGTGTCCACCAACTCTACCTCGAGCCAAGACGGGCCAAAACGCAAAAAAGTTCTAGCAAGTACTTGTTCAAAGAGCCTTCCTGTCGTTGTTACACAAACCTTCGACTGCAAAAGCCCATGCAAACTCCTCAAAGTGTAAATGTTTCAGGTAGATCCAGGTAGCCTCAAGCACATTCTAGTGATTCTATTGTGGTTTTTCAGAAGGTGCCCGATTTTGAACCCCACCTCTTCACCCTCAACCCCGTCTTCCCGCCTCGCCATCTGCTTTCACACGACAAAAGAGCGCGCGGTCGGTGAAAGCCGGGCCCTGACGGAGGCGACACGGAGGTATACCAGTCACGCACCAGGAGCTTTCTTTTTGCCCTATAGGAGCAAGGACGCTACGAACGGGGCTCCTGGCCTTACTACTACGAGCAATGTTCGCTACTAGCAACAAAGGGCACGGCTACTAGGAACAAGAAGCTAAAGCCCAGGGGGGTAGGCCGTAGAGGTGAGGTAGCTAGGTAGCTAGTAGTAGCTAGGGAGTCGCTAGTAGCTTAAGTAGCTACTAGTATGGACGCAGGATAGCTCACGCTCGCACTAATTTGGTTCCTAGATTTCTAGGGAAGGACTAGCATGGACGCAGGGTCCTAGACCTGTACATGTGAACTTCTGATCCTCGTAGCCCTTCATCAAGGATGCTACTAGTGTGCGTACTTTGACTTTAAGAAAATTTAAATAGAAGATGCTTTCAATTGAATTGAGAGGAGGTTAGCCACGGAGCCTATCCCCGAAATAGCATCAACCAAGCTGGCAGGGTGATAGGGATGGGTTCATTTTCTAGCATCAACTCCAGGAACTTACTTGCCAAAACTCTGGCAAACAAAACAAAAAATCAGGGGAGCCATTGGGCTGTAGTTCCTACTCATCAAACCAAGAAGTACCACCCTGGCAATGTCATAGAGTCTATGAGTCTATGGGAACATGAGAGAAATTGGTAGCTTCTTGCTCCTAGTAGTACGGCCAGGTCTAGTCGCGTCCTTGCTCCTAGTAGCGATGCCCTTTGCTCCTAGTAGTTTCTTGTTCCTAGTAGTACGGCCAGGAGCCCCTAGTAGCGTCCTTGCCCCTAGTAGCGTCTTCTGATCGCAACAAATCTAGTCTACCAACTTCAACAGCCCGTCCTTGCGGATCTGTGTGCCGCCGCTGCCATAGGAGACTCCAGCGGCCACAGAAGGGTTCAAGAACATGGAGCCCAACACACCTGCAGAACGGCTAGCTCGTGCTTTGAACTCAGGGTTTCACCCTGAAGAGCTTTGGATAGATTATGATAGATTGGAAGTGCCATTCCAGGATAGGGAACAATGTTGTCCTTGTCATTTTGGTTGCAAACCCCATGTCAACAGGTTGACCACGCAAGCTGTCGAGGTGTAAGTAAAACATGCAAAGAAACGTCAATTTCACGGTGTTTACATGGATGGCTGCAGCGATTAAAGAGTGGCTGCTCCAAGAAAGCGCTTGCTGGTGAGTGAGTTGACTTGGTGAGCTGATTTGCAATGATCTTGAAGAGACAAAGATGTGTGAGTGTCCCAATTTCTGATCCAAAGAAGGTTTGATATCCTAAATACAATGGCAAAATGCCACACAAGAAGATTTTGGATGCTTCTTGCAGTAATTCAAAGTACTCGATCAATCTATGTCCAGACCAAGGCACTATGAGAGTCTCGGTGACCTGATTTGCGGGCTGGCCACGGTGCGACAGACTTGCAACGGACTGGCCCGTGGATCGAACGACAGCGATCCAAGTTCCCTCTTACATAACTCCCCCCAGAAGCGTCCTCTGTGATACATATATATATATATATTATATAGATAAATAGATAGATAAATAGATAAATAGATAAATAAATAGATAGATAGATAGATAGATAGATTATAGCTATATACATATCATTCTTTGTGTGCCCTTGGAACTGTGTCACCACCTTTTGAGTGTTTCCAACTGCCTCTTCTTCCTGTTTCAGCATCTCCCTCTTCCGAGAATCCGCTTTCAGGCGGAAAAAGCCCCTCGTCCTTTCTGCGTGCGATGTTTCCTGCGTTCAGTGTCTCCTCACTGTAAGACGTTGACTGCTTTTCAGCGATCCTTCCGGTTTAAAAAGCGTTTCCCACAATCCTCTTCAAGCATCTTCGGCTTGCAGCGTTGCCCAAGTTCAGGGCTCTGCAGCATTAAGCACCGGCGATGTGTGTTGCGCCTTTATCCCTTCCAGACCTTCCCGCAAGCATTTCCTTACCAAAAACACTTCCCCGGTCTAAACATGTCCCGCTTGAAGCACTTTTATAGCTCGAAGCGTTTCTCCACATAAAGCATTTCCCGCTGGAAGCTCTCCTACTTTATATAAGCGTTACTATAAGATACTATAAGCGTTTAACACTGCGCTCTAAGCTTTGCCTCCAGTAAGCCTTCCCCGGTATAGACGCATCCCAGTTGTAACGTTTCCCACTTTGGGTGTTTCGCACTATAAGCATTTCCCACTGCAAGGGTTTCGCACTTTGAGCATTCCCCCGCCGTAACGTCTCCCCTTTCAGTGCCCTCTTAAGGCCCCTCTTCCAGCGGGAATCTCTTCTCACCCCGGACCCAGAGACGCAAAAAACAGCATTCACTTCAAGGGACGTTTCTGCAGCTCGGTTTGCAGCTGGAAGATCCCGGCGCCAGCAAAGCACAAGGCCAAGTTAGGAGTGTCACCCACCTGGACTGAGCTTTCGCTCCAGATGCGATGAGCAGAACAATTTGACAATGGGGAAGCTGGAACGGGTGGTGAAAACGTGAGATGAGATGCCCGAATGTCAATACAATTGAGCTTATACACGTGTACACCCTCCAGTGCCAGTGTTTTCCCTCTCTCCAGCAATGAGTAAATCATCTGGCATTCCATTGAGCTAGCGTCTGCTGTTTTGAGGCACCCTCATTTGACGTCATTGAAGGTGTCCATCTGTCCAGCATCAGCAAGTGATAGAAGATCATTTAAACCATTGTGACGAGGTGAAAACATGCAAAAACAGGGTTCCGTACATAAAAGAAGCCTGTGTGATCTTGATGGAAGGACAGGGGCAATTGCTTGCCAGGACAAATGAAAGAACACCTTTCAATGGTCCAATTCAATTGGTCACAAGTGCATTACTACTATAGTAGCAAGAAGCGACTACTAGAGATGCCCTACAAGTTCATCTTGGGATGTGGTACGGTATGATGAATCGGTGACCTACTCTTGGCTGAGGCCCCGGCTTGTGCCAATAGACAGTAGCAAGTTTGGCTCAAACACTCATCCGAGTTCCACCATCCGGTCACCCTGTCAGTGCCCTCTCAGGCAACCACCGGCATGATCTTCTTGGCCCGCCTCATGTTAATGATGACCTGATTCCGTGGCTTCATAGACCAGCAAATCAAACAAAACGGAGATCAATTAACCCCCAGCCAAAGTCTGTTGCGCCAACTGAGGGCCTCCCAAGTAACTACGCAAAAGAACCCTGAGACAAAGACATGTATCACAAGATCATAAGAGTTTCTTTAATCGAACGTCCAAGCAAATGTGTGTGTGTGTGCGCCTTATAGTAGAATTGTTCGACAATTCTCACCAGTGGAGGTCAATCCCTATTATACTTAAGTTTCCCTAGACGTCTAGGAACCCAATGAATAGCGCGAGCGCTTCTTCAAGGAAGCTCCCTCCCGTCGCCTTTAGGGCGGCGGGGGGAGCTTCCTTGAAGCAGCGTGAGCTATCCTGCGTCCATACTAGTAGCTACTTAAGCTACTGGTTCCCTCTTTTACTAGTTACCTAGCTACTACCTCTACAACCTACCCCCCCCCAAAAAAAAGAATAACAATAAAAATAATTACGCCAATAATTGTTAAAGCTGCTTGATACCTCTCTGTTAGCTCCACAGATCGAGATTCTGAAAACATTTTGACCAGTCGCAGTGATTCTGAACCTCCTCCGGCATCTGACATGTTAGCATGCAGCATGTGCATCTGTACAATCCACAATCAATACATGCAGCTGTGGCGTATGTGGATCGCAGAAGTCCACGGACACTTGATCCCGTCGGCATCAATGATGATGCTGGATCTGCCCCAGAACACTGCAAAGCTGATTGTCATCTGGGGATATGCTTCGCTACATTAAGTACGAGCCAGCTTGATGTTCATCTCCCCACTCACAAGGGCCAAGCCGAGCAGGGTGCTTGGTGCAACAAGTCACTGTAGGATGGAAAAAAAAGAACTGCTATTTGGTCGGAGGCCATCGCTCCTAGGGTGGAGGCCATTGCTATTGGGGTGGAGGCCATCGCTCTTAGGTTGGAGGCAATTTCTATTAGTAATTCAATGAAGATTGTTTTTGTTAATTGTATGTTTCAAGAAACTGCACACTGCACACCGGACAACTGGACACCCACCCAGCTCCCAGGCAAGCAGCAAAGGGTCGGTCGCAGTCATTTCGCGGAACAGATCCACCAGTTAAGGAAGTGTTCGCACCTGAAACCAGGTCGACATGAAAAAGGGCGTGTCTCGAAACAAGAAGGCCATCTACACACGGATTTGTAACAAGTCTCAACATGTGTGGATGTCATGGGTTTCCGACGCTTCATTTACAGTTATCTATATTCCTTTATTCAAGGGATTTGGGGCCCTTTCAAATTGTCTTGAGACAAAACTTCATTGTGTGCGGTGAGCACAAACCCACCACACAACAAAGGAGAGACTGAGGCTTCAATTGAAAAAGATCCGCTAGGGTTCCACAATCCCTTGCACCTTGCCGTTAATAGATTTAATAGCATGGTCATCGCACATAATCAGCGTGCAAATTCCATCTGACAACATGCAAAAAACAAACACGTTTTGTCTGATTACCTGGGTCTGCACAGAGGTATTTATAGTTTATATATATAACAATATACTTATATTATATATAAACCCAGTCTTGTTGTTTTTCTTTCGCCATGCATCCGTTGCTGACATCCGCAGCAAACAAAAGAAAAAAATGCTTGGGCACCAGGGCGTAGGACGGAACAAGGTTTCATATTCGACGCTGGCTGCTGCTGCAAGGATACTTTCATTTTGGAAGTCGTAAGCGTGGTAATCATTGTGAGATATTGAGTTGTGGATGAGTTGGTTGGAATGAAAAGTCACCCTACTTACAACCGCTGTGGCCCACCAACCCCCACTTCTGCATCTTCCACCCCACCGTCTCCCTCCCCATCTTGGCCGCGCCAGACCAAAAAGGCCCCCTGGGCCCTCGTCCATCGCCAGGCGCCTTGCGGCAAGACTGCCACCTCAGCCTTGGCACAAAGCTCCAAGGCCTGCAGAGCCTCGCGCAAGGTGCCCGGCTTCAGCACCAGCCTCGGACGAAGTCGCCGGACAACACAGGTGGGTGGATGGTCTTGAAGATTCTTCGACCCCGAAGCAACCTGGTAGCTAGCTAATGGGGCAAAACCATCTTTCAAGCGCACCTTTCTACTTGCTTCTGGGAAGTCACAGTCCAAGAATGCCATCATCACTCTTTGCTCAAATCCAAAGAATGCTTCTGGCAACCCCCCAAACCTCCACTTGGGATTTGCCAAGGAGTTGTCAAGGCCAAATGCTAATCTGCACTATGGGGCAATCAGGTCAACCTGAGCTTGAAAAAAGTTGAAAATCGCATTCCAGCTTTCAAGTTTCATAGTGATGGCAAGTTCTCACCACCTGCCTCCGCGCCGAATTGGTATCACTAGAATAAGTTTTCAGAACAGTCCTTTAGACCATTGAGGAAGAAGATAGACTAAAAACCTGTGGTGTTGTTAGGTCTTTGATTGGACTCACAAACAAACAAACAAATGAAAGTCACGCGACACACAAAACAAAACTGCAACAACAACAACAACAACAACAACAACCACAACCACAACCACGACACCAACACCAACACATGCACATGCAAACACGTCGATTGCATTCCCAAACCTTTGAGACATACTGTAGAATGAACCAAAGAAAGCTTTCTGAAGCAATCTCTCGCTGGCATTGCGGTGCCTTTGCCGAGCCTGGCAATGCGATCAAAGGCATGGCAAAAAAGCATAGCCATGGCCATGCCATGGGCATGTATGGCATAACACAGGCTCCCATTTCTCGAGCGGCTCTTTAGCGCTTGCTCCGTGTTTCATGAGAAGCACATGGCTGTCAAAGCACTCAACCAACTGCTCCGGCCTTGAACCCCGTACATTCACGTTGGATTTTACATTCTCTGCACCTGGGGAAGGGTGTGGATCATGCTCAGTTGGCTTGTTGAAGGGGAGGGACAACGCTCTGGGCTTGGAGCTACATATGTTTGCTTCAGTCTTGAATACGAGAATCCGCAGTTTCTTGGTTTACAGAGTCTCTCGCTTCTCGCTGAGATACAGGAACAGCATCTTCCTGTTGTTGCCACACAATACTTGCAGGTTGGGACCAGCCTACTGCATGACCTCGTGCCCCGTCACATCAAAGAGGGTCCTGCGAGGTCAATATACCCACCAGAAGGAGCCACCAAAATCCTGGCCTAAGAGAGCCTTCAGCTGCTCAGGCAACTTCTTCTGTGCTTCTGTGAGCTCCACCTGCAGAAAAGGCTGTTTGGGTGACGACTTTTGGACAACAACCACTTAATTCGGATGGAGAGTGAGCCAGGACGTGGACATGGACATGAACCAAGAAGCATGCGTTCTGCTTTGACAATCACTGTCGTTCCACCCATCATCTGCTTCGACGTGTCCAATCATCTGCCAAAGACGGCTCGGCTCCGCCTCACACTCGCAGCTGCCGCAGGTGTGCCCGTTCCGACGCGAAGTGGCCATCTGTGGGGCCATGAAGCCAGCGAGGAGACCCAAACCGCCCACGGCCAGGAGGGTCTGGCGGAGTGACGAAGCAGCTGTCAAACACCAAGACAGCTGGCACAGTTTTCCAAGACAATCTCCAGAGTGAGTTTTGATTTGAACAAACAACACCCCATTCCTGGCGTAGCGTTGATCCTGTCACCCAGTTCTAGACGATAGTTCTTGAGGGGGATAGGAGAAGAGGCTAGTTGTCGAGCTCTTCGGCTTCTTTCGTTTGCATTTCCCAAACATATTGCCTCCTCAAGGCGTCTGGTCAGTCGTGCAAATTTCGGTCATGAACAGTGGCGAATATCCATGATGAGAGTTGATGTCTTTGCCCCCGAGTCATTCTTTGCCTGGAAGCTAAGCGGGCCTTAAGATGTTGTAGTAGCCAAATCAGTCTTTTAATCAAAGAACAATGGGTCTTTTCAGCAAGGGCTGAAGTTTATCATGAAACACACGACACAACTCATCAAAAATGTGATCAAGTCTCTAGACTGAGATAGATGCAATCTGTTTCCTGGGGCATGTTGTTTAGACTCTAGATCATCTCACATGTCACTTTCACAGGGACACAGCTCAAAGCTTCTCGTCGCGCCGGATCCATGCCTGCCGGCTGTACTCATTGGCTTGCCTCGGAGAGTCGTTCATGGTATGGCAAAAACAGAGGACTGGACCTAGATGTCACAACAGTTGTTACTTCTGTAGGTAGGCACTTGAACGAACATGTTGTTAGAGGTCCACTCACAAGTAAGGAGTCTTCGGTGTCTTGCAGCAAATCTAGAATGTGTCTCATCAACAATTCGACCTTGCATCACTGACCAAGAAAATCTCCACACATCTTGGCATCAGTTTCAAGAAGGAAACGGCAAAGAACCCAAGAACTGGAAGCTTGCGCATGTCAAAAGGCCCTTTGTTCAACGGGGAGATTGAGAGAGTAAAGAAATACATCTGGGCTGTCCAAGTTTCCACGGAAGGCTCTCGCCATGTACCCTGCCATGGTTTGACAGTGCACGAGCAGAGTTTAGCCAAAGCCGCTTCCAGGAGCTGCGCATGGCGAAAAAAGAAATTGAAGTAAACGGCAAAGGATCAATTGGGCACTGGCAGAATGATGCCATGGATTGCTGATGTTGTTTCTATCTGTTCTGACTGTAGCCTTTTCTGATATCTAGTTCGTCGTAAATCTTCTTCAGCGGCCTTGGAGTCGAACAACTCAAACTCGTCATGTTGTGCCTTTAAAAAAAGTGACCGCCATTGTCAGATCTGGAGCTGTGGACGTAGATTGAATAAGACGAGCTAGGTTAGATACCGTACACTGCCATACTGGCCGGAGTTATATCAATCAAGCTTGCCCAGACCAATGTGACATCAGCTTCAACAAATCAAGAAACAATCTGGAAACGATCTCCCTTTCACTCACGCTGTCTCTCCCACCAATCGATCGAGAGCAACCGATCTTTTCTATCCGTCTGCACATGGGTTGCATCACCGTGGGTTGCATCAGGTGAGCTAGAGAAGCTCGAACTCGCTTCCATTTGGATTTCACGAACTCACCCAAATCTCCACAGACGGTCAGCTGGGTCAGCAGGTCTGGGCAGGGTTCTACCAGTCGCTGCCTTTGGTTGGATCTCTCAGCTGCACAGTGTCTGGCTGAAGGTCCTCAATGGCTTCCTGTGCTAGCTACAGTTGTCAAGATGCAGTTGACAAAATTAGACCACCGTAGACCCCAAACAGTTTGTGGTTTTCAAAACCGGAACACTCTGCAACTAGAACTTGCGACGTCCAGAGCTGGGAGACAAAGGATTGCAAGGCAGAGGCGGTGGGTGGCAAGCACACGACTCACATGACTCAAGCACGCCTGCGACAGAGATCCATAGACCAAGGTGTAGTTGTTGAAGTCCCATCGGATGAGGACAGGAGTTCCAGCGAGTGGGTCTTCTTGAACTAGTTTGATCTGCCTCACCGGAACCTGAAAGGTGCCAGGAGGCCGAAAAACAAAGAAAACTCTCCAACACGGACAACAGCATCCCTGCAGCTTGTCAGTCCAAAGCCCTTCTGCCAAGTCACCAATTCGTGTCGCCCCTCGCTTTGGTAGTGTGCAAAGTCTGGCTCTCCCAGGATTCTTTCAAGCAGCATCCTCCGTGCCGAGAAGGCGTCCGCTCGGCGTCCATCCCGTCTCCTCGCCTCGGGTCTCTCGTCTCCCGTCGCGCGGGTCATGCGTCGCGTGGGAGTCCGAGCTCCCGAAGCTTCTGGAGCACAACCCCCGAAGGGTTGTATGCACGATCCAAGCGAATGGTTCATAGCAGTTGCTCCTGCACTTCAGGCGCCGCCTGGCGGAGAACCTGCGTTGCCTTTTCATTGAGCTCATGGTCGATGAGAAACTGTTCCAGGGCCGGGTTGGATCGCTCCGGAACCCTGCGGCTGGGTGGGGTGCGAGTGAGACTCCGCCGTCGAGCTGTTTGAAGCCTCCTCCCCCCTCGTTGTCGGACTTTTTGCGAAGGAGTCCGCGAAGGCGACCGAGCAGGAGATCGTGCGGGCGGCCGGGCAGCGCGAAGGCGACCGAGGCTTGAATGGGCGATGGCGATCTTTGAGACGATGATGGGTGGTGTTTTGGGCGGCGGATCTTGAGGCGGGGCCTCGCTCCATGCCTGGCAAGCCACCCATGGACCAATAGTAGTGTTCTGACACCTTCTCAGGATGATTCCAATCCGTTTTGCTGGGATCAGGAAAGCCACATTCGTCATGCGGCTTTGTCGTGACTTTCCAACCTTCTCTTCGACTCTGTCCCTCTTGCCCTGAAGCACCGCAGCTGCCTCATCTATCACACCGACTTCTTCCGCCAAATTATGCTCCTTGGTGCTGGTGGTGGTGCATTCGGACGCTCAAGAAAAAACATATATATATATATAGAATTGTTCTGGGAGACAATGAATAGAAATGCCTCTTGGCCAAAGGAAAAAGGGCGGACACCAGCAGTGACAGACCTGGAAGACAAATGAATAGAAATGCTACATGGACAAACCTGGGAGACAAATGCATAGAAATG